TTTCCTTCTATCTCCCTTTGTTGAAACCAATATTTATCAGTGCTTGATGTTTTTCTGAGCTATAGGCTTTGATCGATCCATTTCCACGAGATAGCGGCGAAGACGTCCCTTGTAGCAAGTAGGCAAGTCTCTGGTTTTCTAACACTCTGAAGATGTTTGACAAGCCAGCTGTCCCCTTGCGGAGGTTGTTGATAGTGACATCTTCCATTAAATTCATAGGATAGGCATCCTAGATTGAGGAAATTCTTACGGTTTCGTTTTCACAAAAAAGACCCCCATCTTCACTGCAGGTGAGGAGCTCCTAGGACTGCAATCATCCCATTAATTGACATGGTGAACACTGACAGCCGTCGTCGTGAAGGCTTTGGAATGTTTTTGCTATAATCAGTAATAGCAATGAAATTATCCGCATTGACGATGTTGAGAAAAATACTGTCCTCGCTAAGCAGCTTCTCCTATTCCATGTGAAATGTTCCTGACTCACTACGTCGTAACTTGGCACTCATGTGAAGTTCAGCCATATGTTAACAAGAGCGATTTACCGATATGAATTTTCGGGCTATCGCGCTAAAGAATTCGCCTCTAACAAGCCCACAAGCAATACTCGCAAAAAACCTCAAAAATGCACGTGAAAACGCTAATTCGCGACCTCTTTCAAATCAGCTCAAAGTCACGTTTTTTCAGAGTGCATTTTAGGGAAGCCCGGTAAGGCCACGTACAGGTGGGAAAGACAACTCGATAGACCCCTTCAACAGGGTTCAAAGCTCAAGGCGTTCGATGAAGCCTCAAAGACGAACGAACGGAACGGAACATCAAGAACCCCACCGAAGCTATTGTTGTGGAGATAGGAGATGCCGCAGATAGAATGAAATGGAGTCAACAGGCAAAAAGGGTGGGCCTCGCGACTGCGCAGGATTAGCACAAGTAAGAATAATAGTAATAAGCTATGGATAAAGGTGAGAAAATCGAATAGTTTATCAGAAATGAATAATAAGGAATTTTTGCCTTACAGAGAATAATGACATAGAAAAACTGAAAATTGAGCTTAGAATGTTCCAATTTGATGTGGAATTTTTTTTCACATGGCCTTTGCTATTTGCTAAGTGTGTCTGCTAATGTGGAAATGTGTGTTTGCTTAACTAAAATTCCATAGCACCTGTCACCTGGACCTAGAAAGTTTAAATATGAAGAGGATTAGGCCACAAGCAAGGTTGTGAAGATGAATGAAAGAAGGTGATGACAACCAGTGGTATTTGTAAAAAAAACGTCACAAAGAACGATCAGATAAGGAGCTCTGACAAGAGCTGATCAAAAGCCATAAAAGGCAAGAACCGCTCAGTTCGTTACGCCCTTCGTGTTAACAGTAAAACATTGAGAATTCAGTGAATGACGGGGATGTGAACAACAAATGGCATGGGCTGATAACGATGTTGGAGTGGTTGAAATGCACGAGTAGGATACGGTCACTTATGATTAGTTCCTAACTCATACTATCAGCATCGAGGGTTTGGTATGATTTATACTATAGGACGGATTGGTGTAGAATGACAATACCGATAATAGCAGTGATAGTGACTGATCCAAGTCAGAGTTACACAAGGGGAAGCAAACATCACCATACTGAATGCTCCGCTTATGGCGATCAGAATCGCCCGCACCCCACAGTTGGATATAGGGCGCACTATCGCGTAATATAGGGCATCCCACTTCAAGGATTTTGCGGTCAGAAATGTAGGATCGCCCAGAAAGCTTGGGTGGTGCGTTAGTCAGCACTCCAATTTTTTCAATGAAATGAGTGGGAGTTCGACGTAACCCTGGTTATCCGACCAACATCAAACCTATCCGTAAAACCGTTGATGAATCCGTAGTGTCTAATGAAAACTAAGGAATCTCTAAGTTCTCTATGCACGTTGGAACCAGCCATCCTACGAAAAAAATTCGGAAGGCCCGAAACCTATCCGTAAAACCGTTGATGAATCCGTAGTGTCCAATGAAATGAAAGCTAAGGAATCGAAAGAGTTCTCTATGCACGTTGGTACCAGCCGTCCTACAGAAAAAAATTCGGAAGGCCCGAATAAATGGGACATGCAAAAGTGTGCAGATAATAGTGGTTCTTATTTCGATTGATAAAGTTTTGTTCGAGCCGAGATATGTGCACTGAAGGTCAAGAGTTGACAAACGACAGATTTTTCTGAAACGCCAAGTAATAAGCCATGAAAATTATAAGAAAACCTAATAATTTATTAGAAATGAATAATATGGAATTTCCGCCTTACAGAAAATATTAAGTTCGAAAAACTGAAAAAAACGTGAGGATACTCCAGTTCGGTATAGAATACTTCCCAGGATCTTGTACCCAAGCCTTTATTAATTATTAAGTGCACCAGCTAATGTGGTAATGGACCTTGTCCAAAGGCACAAGTCACGATAACGATAATTTCGAGCACCATTCTTGAACAAAGAAGCCATGGAGAATATTGGTGGCGACGAAAGGAAGAAAATGCGGCGACTTTGCAAAAAACAGGGCTTTTTAAAAGTCGTGAAATTACACTTACGAATTACACATTACATTATCACAATCACAATTACAGTTGTGCGAGATTACTATGGCGGAAATAGCATGGAAGGACGGGTGTGATGCGTTAGGAACGAAATGGTCGCGTCGCGGTGAGAGGGGCGTCGCGCGCGAGGGAATGTAGCAGGATGCAGCAGTAGGTAAAAAATACAAGAACAAAAGTACTAATAGTAGAATTATGCGTAAAATAATGATCGTTTATCGATGGAGCTGTATGAAGAACGTTAGAGCTGTAATAACGGCAAAGGAGTGGTCCGCGACAGCCGGGTGCGGCGAACCGATTACCCAAATTCGTTCCTAACGCCCGTCTCCCTGGTAGGACTGCTAGGACGAGATTTCGAATGTTGCGATAGCGAAAAGGGCTGACTACATCGGACCAAAATATAGAAAACTGCCTCCCACTGCCCATGTAGGAAGTTCAACTCGTTATGACGAGTTGAACTTCCTACATGGGTTCCCTTGTGAATGGCGCAGTCTCTACAATGTCGTTGAAACTCATCCAGCTTTATTGTGGCATACAGCCGAAACAATCTTTGAGTCCCCATAACGTACCATCTAACACAGATTCATCAGAAGAGGATATTTCAGTGATTTATTTGCTTTCAGCTGAAAATTCATAACCTTGTCCTCCTGCACCTAAAACGTTCAAATGTGGTGGGGATACAAGCGACTGATAAGTAGTTGTGAAAGAAGGTGATGACAACCAATGGTAACTGTCAAGGAGCCTGAGAGCGAACGAATAGATGAGGAACTCTTATGGGAGCCGATTAAAAGCCACAGAAGCAAAAGCCGTTGAGTGAATTACGCCCTTTGTGATAACAGATAAACGTTGAGGCCTTGGTGGGTGATGTGGGATGATAACATATGGTAAGGGATGGTAACGATGTTGAAGTGGTCAAAGTGTACCAGAACTACGCGGGTCCAAAGGTATCGCGTGAATTGGGAATTCCTTTCCAAGGATTTTGCAAGCAGAAATGTATCATTCACCACGAGAGTATATGGTAAGGGATGGTAACGATGTTGAAGTGGTCAAAGTGTACCAGAACTACGCGGATCCAAAGGTTTCGCGTGAATTGGGAATTCCTTTCCAAGAATTTTGTGAGCAGAAATGTATCATTCGCCTCGAGAGTTTGGTGGCTCGCCAGTTAGCTCTCCAACTTTTTCACTGGAAGGAGGGGGAGTCCGCAGTAACCCTGGCAATAGACCAGCATCAAACTTATGAGTAAGTTAGTCATTCAATCCGTAGTGCTCAATACAGTGAAAATTGTGAAATCGAAAAAGTCTCCTATGCACTTTGATACCTGCCCTTCTACAAAAAAGCTTTGGAAACCTGCATGGGTAGACACCATCATGAACACAGTACCTAGCACCGCCCTGCGATTGTGAGAAGCTAACCTCCGAATCGGTTGACTAGAAAGCGCAGTTTGCTGCTACATGAATTAGAAAATTGTTAAGGTGAATAAGGAAACAACAATCAACGAAAAACGATTC